TTTTTTTTTTTGCTTTAGCAATTTTTCTCACAGCTACTGCATTTTTGTGCTTCGTTGATTGTACGTAACTGGTTCTATAATTTTCTCAAATGTTACGTTAAAGACTTCAATATTTGCAAGTGCAACTTGTTTTGCAGCTGTTGGTTCTCAAATTTTCCTCAACGTTTATTTACTCCACAAGAAAAAGGACAGAAGGAATTTTTTGTGTCATTATCGTAATTTTTTTCAAGTTTTAACAAAATTTTCGTTTCTTCGCTTTTGAACCGTTTTCGCTGATTTTACAGGACTGCGTACATATATAGACTTAAATTTATTTCACTGCTTTCTCGATTTTTGCAATTATATGCATTTGAACTTTCTTCAGTGATTCGTTTGAATTTTTAATTTTTAAAAGTTTTCTGCTGTTCTCGTCACTGACTTCGCCTTCTTGTTCCTTTCCTTCGTCGTCGTAGAATCTTCAGTTTTTGTTTATTTTTGTAATATTAAAGTATCTCTCTGGTGTAAGGCCTTCCTAAGTTAGGGAACAAATAAGAGACGGTGGTACGGTTTACAACTTCTAAGATACTGAAGGTCGAGGAGTATGCTGCACTGTATCTTTACCAGTAAATGGCGGAAGCGGATCAGTGCGACTGATTGAATAGCGATTAAGCGCTCAAGCGGTGACGTATTTTGGTTCGTCGGGAGTTTGTCGGCTGGGAATGTGATCCGAGGAACACCCTCAGAGCAGTGGAGAGGAAAGCCTTTTTCAAAATGTAGGCTTTTGCCCTTATCCTGTTCTGGTACTGCACTGCTGTTTGAAGTTCTCGGACTTTTCTGCTTGACACAATGGATTGTATTGGAGTGGTGGTCGAAAAAAAAAGAATATTGAGAAGTTATTCGTCGAAAAATGATACACTGGGAACAACAGTTTGCGGATTTTCGCTAAACCATTTGACTTGGTTTTTTTTTTTTCTTCGGCTGCAACGAAGGAGAAGGCATAGAAAAGAACAATAATCAAATATTTGATGTTCTACAAAGTGAAGTTACATATTTGTTGGTACTAGTAGTAGTTGTTGTTGTTAATGTTGTTGCCATTGCTGGGGCTGACACTGTCGTTGCCACGCTGGAGGAAGACGTTCCTGTATCAGTTTTTATTGAACCATAGGGAAGTCTTTCTCGTTTTATGGAGGAAAAAGAAAACAGCGTTGGGTGATGGCATTTGTATGCTTTTTTTATTTCAAGTGTATTGTAAGTGATAAGAGGAGGAGAGGAATGAACGGTGACAGGGTAGTGGTTGGTAGGGTGCCTGAAAAGTTTATTTTACAGCATTTTTTTCAGTGCTTTTCCTTTCTATTCTGTTCTTTTTTTCCAACCTGGAGAGTGAAAATCAACAGGTAAAGATCTATTTGAGTGAAGGAAACTATGTTTGCTTTTGACCGCAGCGTGGTTATGTTGTTCCGGCGAAGGCCGGCTCGTGTCTCATGGAGGGTTTCTTGTGCGATTTGGTTTTTTTCTGGTTTTGAAGTCAGTTTTCACTTCGGCAACTCAAAGTTCAGTAGTCATTGCGGTTATTTAGCAAAAACAGATATGGCAGCTTTTGCTCAAGTGTCTTCAGCTGTCTGATTAAGTATTCTTACATAGTTTTTACTTGCTTTTTTTTTATAGCGGTGGATCATTCGTAAATGGTCATATTTCCGGCACACGCAGTGGAATCCGACGGACACACAGCCTCTGTAGCGGTTTAAGCTGTTGTTATTGTCGTTGTTTCTGTTTTATTCTTTACCATTTTAGTTTTCAGAGATGTTTATCTTATACTGTTTTATCTTCTTACTTTAACGAAGTTTAAGAATTAGTTGTTTTTTGTAGTTATTTAGGAATAACAACAATAAAACTGTGGCGAGCGAAGTATGTCTATCTTGTCTCAGAAGCAAAAAAAAAAAAGAAAAAAGGAGAAGGAAGAATGATTGATCAATTTTTTTTTATTTTGTTGATCTTTGGAAAAAGTGAAGGAGTGAGAACAACGATGTTAGGGTTATATGAAGCTGAAGGAGGAGAGGGAGTAAGGAATAAGGAGGATTTATATGTTGGTTTTAAGATGGAAAAAAAAAGGAGTCATGAAATTTTGTCTCGTTTCGTTATAAGGTGAGGTAGATATGATTCTGATGATTTTTTAAGTGTTGGGATTGGTGCGGTATGAGGTTTGTTGCATGGGACTTGTGGGAGACGATTTAGCGATAAATTGATTGTCTGGGTAAGATGGAAGAGCAGAGGAAGGGGTGGGGGAAAGGGAATTTTGTTCCATTTTTTTTAGTGCTTTCTGACATTGCTGCATCTATTTTTACTGGTGATACCGAAGACTGTGATGATGATGGTGCTGATTATTATGATGATGATGATGGCAGCAGTCTTAATTCCGGTGGTATTCCTGTGTGCTTTTTTTTTCACAAATTGTGCTCTGATATTTTATAGGAAATCATAATTTTTAGACGAATTTTTCTCTGTCTCCTTGTGGTGCATAAAGATATAACCACATTTTTATTTTTTGTTTTTATTTTTTGCTTTGTTTTGACAGATGTTGTTTCATAGCCAATTGTTTTGGAGGCAAATTGGCTGTAGAGCACTAGCAACAAGAAGACAGCGACAGCATTGGACCACTTAGTTTAATTAAAGCTGTAGACCGAGTAAAAGAAAAAAATATTTGACTTTTTTTTGGTGGTACTGGGTAGCCAATAGATTTTTAATTCTTGCAACCCTGTTTTTTTCTTTTTTTCTTGCTGTTGTTTAGCAGTAGTACAGTTTTGTTAGACGAACGGTATTCATTTGCTTTAGTTTGTTATATCACTTTTTTTGCTGCTGCATGGATGAAGTATTTTTGCTGGTAGTACCACAGATAAATAGAAGCGATCAGCAAAGTTTTTGTCACGTTAACTGAAGTTATTGAATACGACAGGAATGAAAAAAAAAAGTAAGTTGAGTGAGAAAATTTAAAGGAAAAGTTGACAATATTGATCAGGTTTTGATATTGTTCTTTTTTTTTGATTTGAGGTTAAAGGTGGAGTGGGGTGTAGGGTTCTAATACTGTTAAAGATCGTTTGCTTGCGTAGTTGTCTTTTTTTGTTTTTCTTATTTTTTTTTTGTTTATATAGTGGTTGGAATGAGTTAAAACTTTTAAAAGATGGATGAATAGATTTTTTTTTGACATCGTCGTCTTCTTGTTCTGTTTGGAAGACGCAGAGGCAGAGGCAGAGACAGAAACGGAGACAGGGGTATTTTTTGTTGTTGTTTATCAGTGAAAAATTTTCTTTTTATGATGAGTCGCCGAAAACAACAACAAGAATAACAACAGCAAAAAAATAATGCCGACGCTTTCCTTTTTTTTTTTCTATTTAATACTTTACTATACTTACGAAGAGAGAGAGAAAGAGGGAGAGGGAAGAGGAGAACGAGGGTATGATCAAGAAAGGTGGAGAGTTATTTTTTGCAGCAGCAGCACCAGTGGTAGCAGCAGTTGCTGTTTCTTTCTTGTTCAGAATTTGCTTTTTGGAAACCTGTTTAGTATCTTCAGTATGTATTTGTGTGTGTGTTTGTGTGTCTGTCTGTGTGTGTGTGTGTGTGTGTGTGTCGGCGTGTCGCCGTGTGTCGCCGTGTGTTGGTGTGTTTGTCTGTGTGTGATCACTGTTGTTTAAATTGCTGTGTATATGTATGGCTTCGATGTCGTGGTCGTTACGGACTGAAGTGTGCTGCAGTAGTAGCGGTGTTGGTGGTGATGATGGAGATAGTGCCTCGAATTTGTTTATTTGCATTTATCCAGAAACCAAAAAGCTTTTATAATTTCTGTTCGACGTTTCACCTACTTCAATACCACTAATTGTATTTGTTGAATCATACTTTTGTCTCCTCTTTTTTCTTCCGCACTTTTTTAATATTTATGTATATATAAATTTCGCTTTCTTTATACTAAAGACAGGTGAAAAGGTCAAAATTCATTGTTGTTATTTGTGCTCGTGTTGCCATTACCATTGCGGTTTTGACTCTACTGATACATAATTCTACTCGGTTTCACCTGAAACTAAAATTAGTCATAATTTAGCTGATAACTATGGTGATAATGATACAGTGGAATTATTTAAAGTGAGTCAATGAATTTAAGATGCATAAAAAAAAAAAATAAATAAATAAAAGAACAACGATGCTCAGCGGTTGACAGGAAATAAATAGGATACTAAGAAAATTGGCTAATGATTACAGAAAACAAGTTGGAAGTTTCAATTTTTTATTGATCAGTGCTTTCTTTCGTTGTTGTACTACCTTAGTACCTGCACCTATCTTTCTATCTATTCCTCTCTTCTTGTCTCTCTGTCGACGGCATTTTTCTGCTCTATCTCCGTTCTGCTTACATGCTGTTCATGAAACATAGCTTTATTGAACTAACTGATTCCTGACGACTGGTGAAGTCGAAAGTGAAATGGAATGAAAAAAGAAGGGTAGAGGGAAGATTGGAGAAAGTGAGAAACAAACATTTTCTAAAACCTGATATTTTTGTATTGAATGAGTAAAATCATAGTTTTTTTAAATCCAATTTTGTTTATTGTTGCTGTACCAGCGTTTTTTTTCTTTTTTGCATTTTCGTATTCTTTGATCAGGCAGTATTTCTGAGTGATATTTTTTATGGCAATTAAATATTTTTCAATTAATCCACATTTTTTTTCTTGTGTTCTTATTGTAAAAGAAGTTTTTTTTCGCTTTTTCAAAGCCACACTTTATTTGGAAAGCAAAAAAACTTTTTGGATAAATCTGTTGCAATTCTCCGAATCAGACAACATCATTACGTCATCTATCGCGTCATCGTCACCCTTATCAGCAGAATTTTTATCACCTTTTTGCAGTTATTTGAAGTCGTAATACAGGTGTAAAATAAGTGAAAACACGGGACCGATTAGCAGTCAACAGGAATAGAAGTGTTAAAATATTGGAAGCACAGCGGGGTAAAATAGAACGTCTGTAGTAGCGGAAATTTTCACAAATCTATGTCATTAATAAAGATAAGGAAAAATTAGACCCGAAAAAAAGGGCCAGAAAAAGGGGTAGGAATAAACGAAGAAGCGAGGAAAGTTTGACCGAAACATCTTTGAAATGTCATCAAAAAACGTAAATTGTGGTTTTCTTGATCGGTTGCTTCTTCTGGATTAGGTGAAATTGGAGTTTTCGAAGTGCTACGTATAGATTATTCTAACGTCGCTTTTAATTCGCTTTTAATGTATCTATCTGATTAATGGCGTTCCTTCCATGTTT